GTTTCGGGAAGTGAGCCTTCCTTAAGTCTCTGATGAGGCCGAAGCGGCCGGGTCCTGCTCGGGGATTGGGCGCGACGCCCACGCAGCTTTCTTACAGCTCCAAGAGAGGACCCAGGCCACATCATTCCCGGAGCCCACCGCGACCCCGAGGCAGCTCTGGAGATTGGGGGATGGGGTGAGGAGGTAGGGAAGGGGGTGGACCACGCAGGAGCGAAGAGCTGGGCCTCCTCCAGTGCGTACACTGACTGGGCGGAGTTAGAGGGGGAGGAGGTGGAGCTGGGGGTCCAGGACAGTTAAAGAGGAAAGGGGGAGTACTGGCTGGGAGAGGGTGGCGAGGTAGTGTGGGACTGTGGGAGGGGCAGGGCTGATATTCCGGGTCTTGGGTGGGGACAAGGCGACTCTTCCTTTCAATCCCCAGATGCTCATAGTCATGAATTCTCTGCTGTGACATTCTCCCGAAGGGCCGGTTGGTCGGAACCCAGCCCAGCAGTCTCTGCGCCTCCCCCTCCCTTTCCGGGGGTAGAAGGGGCCAGGAGGCGGGGCCAGAGGAAGGGTTAGGGGATCTGTACCTTGCGCCCTTCCAGTCGCCGCCTCACAATCCAGCTGCTAAAACAGATGGGCTCAGCCGCGGCTCACCTCGGGGGCTCCTTGGCTGCTGTGCGCCGAGATCCATGCTGAGGCGGAGATCTGGAGCTCCGGGTGCCCCGCTCTCCCGCGGGGTCGGGGGAAAGCGGCCGCTGCGCGCCCCCTCCCGGGGGAAGAATAAAGAGCTTGGACCTCACGGGTCCTAAGTGGGGTGGGGCGAGGTGCGTGGAGCCGAAAGCCTGCTCCTCGAACGGAACACCATCATCCTCAGGGCCCTGGCTGGGACCCTTTCCGCACCAAGACCCCTTTCTGGGCTTTTCACTCTTTGCGGATTTGGAAAGGGGACCACCACCCCGCCGCGCCCCGCCCCGCCCCGCCCCGGGCACCCGCCCCGCCGACGTCGCATTAGCATGAGCGACGCAAGTGGCCGGGGCACACTCGGGGGCCGAGACTCGCCGCGTCACATCCCTGAGTGGAAAGGGAAAAAAGAGGAGGCGGCGAAGGAGGAGGCAAGAGCCAACGCAAGGGGAGGGGAAAGAGGCGCGGGGCGAGGAGCCGGCGGGCGGGCGGCAGCAGCATGCCCCTCGGCCCGCGCGGGCAGCCTCTTAGCGCGGCGGGGCGGCTCCAGACGCGCCTGAGACGCAGCGCGCTCAGTCTCGGGCCCCGACCCCTCGGCGCGCCCGCCTTCCCTGACCACCCCTGAGCCCAGCAGCGGCTGTTCCAGGGCTCCGCTCCGAAAAGCGGCGGCGCCTCACGGTACAGGGTCTTTGCTTTCCCGGGGTGTAGGGTCATGAGCCCTACAGCCACCTGAAGCACAGGGGGCGCTGCGCGGCGCGGACCGCGCCCCCGAAGTTCTGCGCCCTTATCTCTGCACTGCAGGGCGTCCACGTCCAGCCCCGGCGGAGGCGTCTTCGGAAGAGCGGCCGGGTGGGGCAATGGAACCCGCGGGCCAGGCGCGGGAGGCAGCCACCAAGCTGTCGGAGGTGGTGGGCGCGGCGCTCCAGGAGCCCCGGCGGCAGCGGCGCCTGGTGCTGGTAATCGTGTGCGTGGCGCTGTTCCTGGACAACATGCTGTACATGGTGATCGTGCCCATCGTGCCTGACTACATTGCCCACATGCGCGGGGGCAGCGAGAGCCCCACCCCGGCCCCCGAAGTGTGGGCGCCCACCCTGCTGTCGCCCACTCCAGCCAATGCCAGTGCCAACATGGTAAACAGCTCAGAGTCCCCGAAGGCCGCTTGGCCGACCGGGTCTGCCCTGCGGCCCCGCTACCCCACGGAGAGCGAGGACGTGAAGATCGGGGTGCTGTTTGCCTCCAAGGCCATCCTGCAGCTGTTGGTGAACCCCTTGAGCGGGCCCTTCATCGACCGCATGAGCTACGACGTGCCGCTGCTCATCGGCCTGGGTGTCATGTTCGCCTCCACTGTGCTGTTTGCCTTCGCGGAAGACTATGCCATGCTTTTCACCGCGCGCAGCCTGCAAGGCCTGGGCTCGGCCTTCGCGGATACGTCAGGCATTGCCATGATCGCCGACAAGTATCCTGAGGAGCCCGAGCGCAGTCGCGCGCTGGGCGTGGCGTTGGCCTTCATCAGCTTAGGAAGCCTCGTGGCACCGCCCTTCGGGGGCATCCTCTATGAGTTCGCCGGCAAGCGTGTGCCCTTTCTGGTCCTCGCCATTGTGTCACTTTTCGATGCGTTGTTGCTGCTGGTGGTGGCCAAGCCCTTTTCCGCAGCGGCGCGGGCACGGGCCAACCTGCCGGTGGGCACGCCCATCCACCGCCTCATGCTGGACCCCTACATAGCCGTGGTGGCCGGCGCTCTAACTACTTGCAACATCCCCCTCGCCTTCCTCGAACCCACCATCGCCACGTGGATGAAGCACACGATGGCGGCGTCCGAGTGGGAGATGGGCATGGTCTGGCTGCCGGCCTTCGTGCCGCACGTGCTAGGCGTCTACCTCACCGTGCGCCTGGCGGCGCGCTACCCACATCTGCAGTGGCTCTACGGAGCTCTCGGTCTGGCAGTGATCGGCGCCAGCTCGTGCGTGGTGCCCGCCTGCCGCTCTTTCGCACCACTAGTGGTCTCACTCTGCGGCCTCTGCTTCGGCATTGCGTTGGTGGACACGGCTCTGCTGCCCACTCTCGCCTTTCTCGTGGACGTGCGCCACGTCTCGGTCTACGGTAGCGTCTATGCCATCGCCGACATCTCCTATTCCGTGGCCTATGCGCTTGGGCCCATAGTGGCGGGCCACATTGTGCACTCGCTGGGCTTTACGCAGCTTAGCCTTGGCATGGGCCTGTCCAACCTGCTCTACGCTCCAGTCTTGCTGCTGCTGCGCAACGTGGGCCTCCTGACGCGCTCCCGCTCCGAGCGCGACGTGCTGCTTGACGAGCCACCGCAGGGTCTGTACGATGCGGTGCGCCTGCGTGAGCGCCCTGTATCTGACCCTGACGGTGCATCTCGCAGCCCACCCGGCCCGTTTGACGAATGCGAGGACGACTACAACGACTACTACACGCGCAGCTAGCAGCCCTGCTTCTCTTCCAGGCCACCCACCCCTGGGGCCAAGGTGTCTGCTCTGGGAGCGCACTGGCCAGCTCAGGCTCAGGGCCAGCTTTCCCTCCCCCTAGCGAGTATCCAAGCGCAAGCCCCTGTCTTGACTCCCCCTGCCCGGGTCCTTTCTCCGTGACCCTTTCTGTGTCCCTCCCCATCTCGTGCAGTGGGGCGTGGAGCACCGAGGCACCCAAAGCGATGCTCTCCTGGCACAGAAGAGGAACTCCTGCCTCCACCTCGGGGCCACCCTGTGTAGAGCTGTGCGTCTGTCTGTCCCCCCTTCTCTTCCTCTCAGTGCCAACACAGCAGTGTCTCCGGTCCGAATCAATAAATCATATACGTCCGAGACCGAGTCTCTTTACTGATTGGGGGTGGGCACAGGGCCAGGACAAAGGGGAGGGTGAGTTGGGTCTAACCCCAATCCAGGTCTCAGACCAGCAGGCACGCGGAGAGCCTGTGGCTCTTTTGCTACCAGGAAAAGGAGATACGTACAAAAGAAGCAAACCCATCAAGGGCTCTCAGCCAAGGACAATCTGCTGCATACGACTCCCTCATCCCGCGACAGCCCCGCCCTTCCAGGCCCCGCTCCCTGAGGACCTGCTCCCTCCAGGTGCGTAGGCCCCGCCCCTTGAGGACACATTTTGCATCAAACGCTGAGCTGTGAGGTGCCGGGATTGGCCTCCCTTGGAGCCCTGCATCCTATCCTGTCCAGGCTCCGTAAAGGAGTAGGGGCAAGCTGTTCTGGGCAGAAGTCCGATCTTTGGAAACACGCGTGTGTGATGTGTGTCTTCATTAGAGAGCCAGGATCTATCCTACGAGGGTGGGGGAAGAGTTGTCGGTGTGTCTGCTGTGTCTCTGCCGTTCGGATCTGAGTCTGGACTGGAGAGGGTGCGAGTATGGGGGCTGGTGCCAACCTCCCACCCCTACCGCATCCTCAGTGGAAAGAGCTTCCCAGGGCTGTCAGAAACTTCTCCCCACCTTGAGTGCGGATTCCAAGATCCGTGTTTGTGTTCCACTCCCAGTCATGGAGTCTGTGGCCTGCTGAAGGCCGCAGAGTCCTCCCATTCCCGCGAGTGGAAAGGCTGCTGGGTTGAGGAATACCTGTGTGTTAGACAATGCCTGTGGGGATCTGCATAGTTGGTGTGTGCAACTCTGTTCTCAGTCTGCATGTCCCTCTGTGTGTGTTTGTGTGTTTGTCTGGACAGGGTCTGTCTTTGTGGGTCTGTCTGTGTGTGTTCTCCTGTAAGGACCTATATGTGGGGTAGAGGAGGAGTGCTTTGTCTGGGAGGAGTGTCTGCCTCTGGCTGTGTGTCTCTAAGCATCCCCAGGTCGGTATCCTCTTGCTGCCCAGTAGTGCCAGCAGGGATGGGGTGGAAATAAAAAGGAGGGAGGACCTGCAGTGATTAACAAACAGGTCTTATTGTTATTATTATCGTCATCATTATTATTATTTTCAAAGAAGTTGTAGTATGATTTGAGCCTGGCCTAGAGGGTGAGGAGCGCACAGATTTCCCCAGACCCAATCCTCCTCAGGGTTCTGCACACGCAGCCGCTGGCTAGGATAATGGGGTTGGGGGAGCGCAAGGACTGGGGACTGCTGGGCTGGGGCAATGGCGTGGGTGGGGCAGGGTCCTGCTTCTCCGTCCTGGATTCTGCTGCCCTTGTACAAACTGGTGGGAGCCATGGCAGGGGGGCAGGAGGTGGGATCCCGGAAGGCGGCGGGGAGTAGGGGGGGGTGCGGTTATAGAAGACGGAGAGGGAGCGAAACGGGTGGGGCTGGGAAAGGAGGAAAAGAAGGAACGGGAGGGAGGAGGAACAGAAGAGGAAGACGGGCGCGGCGGGCTTGCTGGCAGCCAGTCGGGAGCCCGCGGGGATCCAGCAAAGTCGTTGGAGGCTCTACCACGAACGGAAGCAGCAATCCTGTGTAGAGCGCCCCTGAAAAGTGTGTATTTGTATGAGCAAGAGTAACTTTATCTTGGACACAGTGCTGTGGAAATCCCCCATGAAGATAAATAACAAGTAAGCAACCACCAGACGGTCGGTGCAGCAGCTGCACCGACTGATAGGAAATATGTCTGTAAGGACTGATAGGTGACGTCATAGGGCTCTACTGAAGCCCTTAAGAATCTAGGACTTTGATAGCTCGGAGAGCAGGTCTGGACCGAGAGGTGACCAGCTGCTCCTCTCCTCCAAAAACCTGCTTGCTCCATCAGACTCAGACCGAACCTCTGCCTGACAGACCTCCGCGGGACCAGCCGCCCTGCATACCGGATTCTGATTGACTCTGGGACTGGTTCGTTATCAAAATACTTTACTAAATTGTTATTGCTATGTTGGTGGTCATATTGCTGTGATTATACTGTGGTGTGATATTGATATTAAGTGGGAGGCTATTCCTCCCACTGCATTTTCTGTGTGAATAAATGAGCATATTCAAAGGCACTACACCTGTGTGTGTGCCTTAATTCTTGCTCGAAGCCACGGCTACCGCGAAGTCCTCAGTCAGTGCCGGGTAGATCCTGGGGGTCTGAGAGTATCTCGGGGGTTAGTCCCTCTGACCTGCAGGAAGAGACTGCAGCACGGTCTGCGAGCCTAGCAGACGCTCATGACAAGTCCCCACCCCCGCTCTGCTGACGCGCCCCCAGCTCCTTCCAGCTACCACTCCTGCCCGCAGTCCTGGTCCGTGCGGTGCCGCGGCTGCCGAATTGGCAGAGCCAAGGAGAGCAGGTGAGAAAGGCTGGGCTGGCGGCGCGCAGCCCGGGGAGCGGAGCTCAAGGACCAGAGGGAGGCTCCGTCCAGGGACCGCACCGGGACGAGAGGCCCCAGGACCCGCGGAGTCCTCCAAGCCCTGAACGGCAGCCGCCGTCGGGGGACCGCCGGGAGACTGAAGGATTCCGCGGCTCTTTCCCACGCAGACGGGGAGCACAGGGGGCGTGGGGGGGGGCGGGAAGCTGGACGATGAGAGACAGGGGAAAGGACTTGCAGGGGCTTGATCATCAGGGTTCCGCGGCTCCACGTACATGTCCTCACTTCTCCTGGACCTCCATTTGCTGAGTGCCAAAGTCTGCACTTTCTGTGCCCAGTCAAGGGTCCTCAGGTGTCACCCTGACCACCCGGAAGTGCCAGCACCCTTGTCTCTCCCACTCTGGAAGAGGCAGGAGGTGGGGATCAGGCACAAATCGCAAGTATAAGCTGGATTTCAGGGAGTCCCTGGAGCGAGTGGATAGCCTGTGATGCCAGCCGAGCCGGGGTTGGGCCTCTAGGGCAAAGCAGAGAGATCTCTGAGGAAAGTCTTTGAAAGCCAGGCGGGTGGAGGTCACCACCAGACCAATAGACAGACAGAAAGATACACCCTCTAGGCTCCAGCCCGAGGACCAAGGAGGAAGAGCTGCTGACACAGGGACCAGACTCTCTGCTTTGGCCCCCAGGAAACGCTCCTGCTTAGATCTCGTGGTACTCTTCCAGACGTGGGGTCTCTGAGGTTTGACTAGTATCTTCCCACTATGGAGCTGGCCATGGACCAGAGCAAAAGGAGGGGCTTGGGCGGCACTGTCTCTAGGACTTTTACCAACTTCACCTCACTCTTCTTTGCCCTCTCAAAACCCTGTGCCTAGGGGTGGACCCTCCCCTGCCCATTCTGGTGGTGGGTAGGGTCAGCCCCTATGCTCCCTGGCACTGGCGGGTCTGGGGACCACCTAGTCCTGAATACTCTGGCATTGTGCCCATGAGGACTCTACATTCTCTGCCCAGCACTTCCAGGCAACGCTAGGCTCCTCCACCCCTGGGCTGGGTTCATCCATCTTTCTGTATGCTCTGTCTTTGAGTCAACTATGGCCATGCCCACCCCCAACCTGGACTGTGCCTGCCTGGGGTGGGGGTGCTGTGAGGGGTAGAATGGGCTATGCATCAGCTTTAGACTCTTGGGAATGAATAGGGGATGGATGAGTGGAAAGCATGGGTGTGTGTCTCTATGGGCTTTTGCTTAGCTTAGAGGGATCTCTGAGGGTAGAGACTGGGCCCCACTGGCCTTAAAATCTGGCCTTTGCCCCTTTTGACTTGGCTCACTTCTACTGTCCCTTCAAAATTAATCCACCACTCTCCAGACTGAGGCAGGTGGCCCCTAGGGGCCTGGGCTGCCCAGCTTCCTGTACCACCTCCTCAGCATTCCCATGTCACCCACGCTGGTAACCTTCACACCAGAGACTGTCTAAGTCACAGCCCATCCAGCAAGCCCCAGGGTCCTCCCTGCCTTGGCCAGATTCCCAATCAGTCCAGAGAGCCCTCTGGAACCCAGGGCCTTGGAGGGCCTTGCATTCATTCATTCGGGCATGTATTCATTCAGGCATGTATTCATGCATGCATGCATTTCTTTTACTCAGCTCCTCAATACTAACCCTACTCCATGCCAGCACCCACTGGGTCCCAAAGATGAAGCACTGAACACTGCAGGTATGGTCTTGCCCTGGAGAAGCTCAGAGTCTAGTGGGAAAGAGAGATTTTAATCTGCAAAGCACACATCTATTGGGTCCCAGACAGGAACAATGCAAGTGCTCTGCCAGTGGCCCCTCATGGATGTGGAGTGGGCCAGCCCAGCCCTGCTTCCTCCCACGCAGCCCTGGGGTGGTCGGTTGAGCCTGGGTGACAGCAGTCTGGTGGAGCAGGTACCAGCTGGAGGTCAGGGGGACTGGTCTGGAGGCCAGGAGATTGGGGCCAGGCCTACAGTGAGACTCGTGTACACTATTGTCTAGCTCTGGTTTCCTCACAGGGTGTGGGCAGGTATCACTATGAGAAGTGAAGGATCCATGGCAGCTCTGTGTGCCTGTTGGGTTGACGCTTCCCTGCTTCTTGGTCCCCAGGTCTGCACCTTTGCTTCCTTAACCAGGAGTCACCAAGATGCCCATCCAGGAAAAAGCCCCACCTAAGATGGCAGCAAAAACTCCCAGCAGTGAAGAGGAGCCTGTGAGTAACTTTTGGAGCCCTATCTCTTATCCCTGCTCTTCCCACTCACATGCCCTTGCTTCTAGAACAGTCCTAAGTGGGACTGGTCCCCAGCCCTGCATTTTCCTGGGCATGAGGCCTAGGCTACGGCCCTGAACCTGTTGAGGAGCCTGGGAGGGCCTGGAGGTGGGGGCTGGAAGTGGCTTCAGGGGGTGCTAAGGGAATGCTGACAGCCATGCTTCCTAACCGCCAAGGCCAGGGAGAGCCCTTGACCTGGACCAGGCACTCATTTTTCTCCCAGGACTGTGCCCAACCCCAGGTTCCACTTCCAATGGCTTTGAGCCCAGTGGAGTTGCCTTCGATAAGGCTGAATCCCATACTCGAAGCATTGTCACATCTCAGCCCCAGCTGTTGTCACTAGCTCAGCCCTAGAAGCTTAGGCACCATCTTCCTCACTGACCTGAGACAAGCCACCCTTCCCTGAGCAAGCTTCCTCCCTCCCAGCCCACTCACCTTCCAGCCTGATAGAGCAACACATTTGATCTCTAGCATATTGCCCATGTTGGTTCTTCTGCCACAATTGCCTTCTTGACACCTCCTTCCCACCCCTACCCCGAGCTTCATTTGAAACCCTGATCAGAACTTTCTGACTTCTCCCTATGAAGTTGTTCACCACAATGTCCTGTCCGCTACAGCTGACGACACCTCTGCTATTGCTTCTGCTCCATGGCATATTCCTCCCATTGGACTGTGGTTGCCTTGAGAGCAGGCCCCATCTCTCCATGGAATCTGAGTCCAGCCCAGGACCTGACTCACATGAACTGCCAGGAAACGTGTATTGACCTGAGACCCCCAGGGTCCTAAGACCCTCATTAACACAAGTGCCTGCCTCTGTCCCCATTGTGGGCCAGAAGACCATGAGAGTCTGGGAGGACCCCCAAGGGGATGAGACATCAGAGTAGAGATTTCCTGCCTCATTCCTTTTACCCATAACTAATTCCCCATACTGTAGGCTGAGTCCCAGAGCACTGTCAGAGCCCACAAAGAAGGGTGGCCTGTTTCTAGCAGAGGGTCCAGCCAGGTCTGCTGGCACTCTTAGCCAGGCCACCAGCTGGGCTGGGCTTTCTGTAAGTGCTTGCCCACTCACCTACCACACAGACCCCCAGGCCCCAAGAGAAGGAAGAGGGAACCAGAGTGGTTGGGTGGGGGACCTGGACCTCACTCTCTGGGAGTGGGCTGGACAACCTGAAGTGCTGCTCAGACCCATCCTCCAGTGGTTCCCAGGGCAGAGCAGCCCACAGTTAGCCCTGACACCCTCCTCCCTCCCCTTAGCGTTCATTCCCCTTCATGGGGTGGTGAACTCTAACACAGGATCAGACAGATGGTGGACTCCCATTCATTCATCAGTACATGTTCACTTGGACCCATGTGCCCAGGGCAGCCTTGGGGACTCCAGCCTGTGCAGCAGCAAGAGCAGAACAAAAACAAGCTTCCACAGGCCCCTTCACTCCGCAGCCTGCCTGGGGCGGAAATCACTGCCCGCCCCGCCCCATGGAGGAGAAACCTCCAAAAGAAGGCAGCCCACACTATCTGGCAACTTTGTAAAATTTAAGCGATAATTTGAAAAGTCCTGGTTTCCAATTGCAACCAGCTAAGTGAGGAAGAAGGAAAGGGGATGGAAAAGAGAGCAAGGGAGAAAGGAGAGAACAGCCAAGGAGGAAGGAGCAGAATAAATGCTGGATGAAGACTGATCTCAGGTCCCAGCTCTGTCACCAAATGGCTGGGCAACCTTGGACTATCTCTCCACTCTCTGGGCCTAAGTGTCCTCATCTGTCAATGAAGCTAAGTCTTAAATTGGTTGAACACGTATGTGAGATTACTGGTGAACACAGCTGGTAAACTGGGAAGCAAAGAGCCCAGACAGGGAGGACATCAGGGGGAGTTCTACTCAGATTTTCTCCACACTTTGGGAGCCCCCAGAGATTATGGGGTTCCTCTTAGGAATCTCCCTGAAGGGATGGATAAAACAATAACATCATAACATTTAATGGTGTGCCTATTTGGGGCCAGTTGTTTCTCTCATTTAATTCTCTCTGGGCCCTTCTCAGGCAGGAATTGTTATTTATGTGCTATGGATGAGGAAGTCGAGACTTGGAAAGATTAAAAGAAGAGGAACTTCCACTGCACTTTTCCCCTGCCCCGCCCATACCCAAATGGAGCAGAACATCTCTCCATGGGTTTCATAACTTGAACCCAGGGGTTTAATAAAGAGCCCAAGGCATGAGTCACCTTCCCAGTCAACATCTTGCAGAATCCTGGTCATCAGGGCAAGCCATGAGCTATGTCTCCCGCTCCCTTTCACCTGTCCAAATCTTTCCATGGAGCCCCAGCTGGGAACGGTTCTTAAATTAAGAATGACCTGCAGCCAATATCAATAACAGGACTATTTCACCTTAAACCCATTTGTTATGGTTTATAAGCACTTTCATATCCATGATCTCTTTGATCCTATGAGAGATAGAGGTTAGTACCCCCATCTAATGGGAGGAAACTGAGGCACAGAGGTAGGGGTGAGTTTTTCAAGATCACACAACTGGTTGACAGCAGGGTGAGGGCATGAACCCAGGTCTGTCTGGGGCCAACATCAAGGTCTTTTCCTCTGCACTTTGTCCTCTCCTGGAGGCAGGGCTGGCGTATGGGAGAAAGCAAACAGGAGCTTCCCAAGTTCACAATTCTGCTGTGCTGAGCCCTGGAAACAGATGAGTCCCAGGACAGGGAACAAGAATGGGGGAAGATGGAGACAGACACTGGGCATCCATCTGGTGACAAGCATGGGCCACACAAAGGGCAGGCACAGCAAGTGCTTGTGAACTTCTCTTCCAGGAGCTGCCCAAACTTCCAGTGCCCCCACTGCAGCAGACTTTGGCCACCTACTTGCGGTGCATGCAGCACCTGGTACCCGAGGAGCAGTTCAGGAGGAGCCAGGCCATCGTGCAGCGGTTTGGGGCCCCTGGTGGCCTTGGTGAGACCCTGCAGCAGAAGCTCCTGGAGAGGCAGGAGAAGACGGCCAACTGGGTAAGAGCTGCTGGGAGGGAGCTGACTGGGGGGCAGACAAAGGACCCACGGGCAGGGGCAGAAGGCAGACATGGAGATAGGGATTTGGATGAGGGACAGGTAGGTGACAAAGATGGGGCAGATGGGAGACAGGTATAGGGGAGAGACGGGGTGAGCCAGGGACAATGGTGAGGAACACACAAGATGTGGGATGGGGGTTAGGGATGAGGACAGAGGGGGGACAAATGGGGGAAGGGATGAGGGACAGACAGGGACAAGGATGGGGGCAGATGAGGACAAGTTTGGAGAACAGATGTGTGACAGGGAGGGAGCAGCAAAAGATAAAGATGAGGTCAGGGAAGCAGAGAGGGGTAAAAGGCAGGAATAGGACCCTCATATGGATGGGCAGAGGACATGAATGAAGCACCAAACAACCAAGATGGGAACCTGGGATGAAAGAAAGGAGAGAGCACAGGGCAAGGATGAAAACAAGCATGTGGGTTGGGAAGTACATGGCCCTAGCACATAACTGGGACTCAGTGTATGTTTGTGGAATGAATGAATGAATGAAAAGAAGCGCATGATCCAGTGAAGTGTCGCGATTGTCCCTCGGGGGTGCCGGGATGGGACTGGTGTGCTCCACAGGAAATGTACCCAGGTTTGGAGGGGTGTACATGGCCTTGGGAGTAATGGCGCCCCTCCCCCACTCTCCCCTGCAGGTGTCTGAGTACTGGCTGAACGACATGTATCTCAATAACCGCCTGGCCCTGCCTGTCAACTCCAGCCCAGCTGTGATCTTTGCCCGGCAGCACTTCCAGGACACCAATGACCAGCTAAGGTGAGGTCACCATGCCCCTGGGCTCCCATCTTGGGAGTCTGTCTAGGGGAGGGGTCCTGGCCCCAGTTCCAGGAAAGACAAGCTGAACTTGTGCCTTGGTGCCGCTTTCTAAGGCCAAATGGCCCTGAGACAGCAGCTGTCCAGGCCATGGGGTCAGGAAGGAGGTTAGGTAAGGGCGCATGTGAGAAATAAGCAAGGTCTTCCTCAGATCATATTTACCTGGGGTGAGTGGGCGCTGATGGAGGGCTCAGGCCCTGCAGTGTCCCCGGGGCAATCTTGACCTGGCTGGGGCCCTGGGAGGTGAGTACCCTTTTATTGTACCAGTGCTTGAGGCTGGGACTTAGTGGAACACACTGCCCCAGGTGATTTGAGAGGCCTCTGCTGCCCTCCAGCCTCCAGCTCTAAACAGCGGCTCCCAGGGGGTGGAAATGGTTCCTTCCCACCAGCTGCCTTCACCAGAGCCTGTGCCATCTGCTGCAATTTCAGAGCTCACTGAGCTGCTGGAAGGGCCTCTGGGCCCAATAATGACGATGGAGGGGCCATTTACACAGGGATGGGGCAGGAAGGAAGGGGCTCCCTGCAAGAGTCACACAGACCCAAATCTGGGTCTCTGGTTTTAAGACCTAAGTGGGGTACAGCATGGGGACAGTTCAGAGGGAGGAAAAGAACAAAAATTAGGGCCCACCTCACCTGTGGACAGGGCCCAGCTATGCTCAGGAAACCCCCAGCTCCTCCTTCCTCACAAGACCAGCCCAACTGTTTGGGGGCAGCCTGTGCCTTTCCCCTGGGCGAAAAGGAGTGAAGAAATATGTGGCTGGTCCAATGACTTCTGAGAACAGTTCTCAAAGTTGCCTCTGAGTGGGCATTTCCCTCCTGACGCAATTAAGCCAGGGCTCGTCATCCATGGAAAGTTAAGATGATCCAGTTCTGTGGTACAATTCTCTGGTGCTTTTCCCCCCACGGGGCTCGCCTTCCTTTTCATAGCACTCAGAGAATCAAATTACTAACTTTTCCCAGGAGACCGCATTTCCCAGAACCTTGGGGTCCTGGCCCAATCCAGCTCCAGCATAAGCCTTTCCTAAGAAGAATCCCACCCCTGACCATCCTGCCCTCTCCTGCCTGCTCTGTGGCCCCTTTTGGCTTCCTGCCCCTCCTCCTCACTCACCTTCCAGTTTCCTCTTCTCCCTGCAGTTCTCTCCACAGGAACATTTTTAATCCAATGCTTGTGAGGGACTGACAGCATAGGGATAGGGGGAGGCAGCAGTAATCCCATCTGATTAGGGCACCAAGGAGACCTGGCACCTGATGACTGGTCACTGAGTTTGAGAAAGAGAAAGAAAGAGGGTGTGGGGTGGGGGAGGGAAGGTAGGAGGCAGAGAGGAAGAAAGGAAGAAGGAAAGCAGGAGGAAAGGAGGGAGAGGAAGGCTGGAGAGAGGGAGGGAGCCTGGGCTCCTGAGAGGAGAGGCTAAGCCTCATCTCTCTCTGCAGGTTTGCTGCCAATCTCATCTCCGGTGTGCTCAACTACAAGGCCCTGCTAGACAGGTAGGACTGGGCCCAGCCTGTGAAGGGCAGTGCCCTGTTCTGGCACAGCCTGTCGGTTCACTTGTCTCCCTGCCACACTAGACAAGGAGCTCCAGACGACAGGGAACTTGTCTTTTGTCAGCTCTGTGTTCCTGGCTCCTGTCACAGAGTAGGTGGGACCCCACCTACCCCCAGCATCGGGATGACCTTTACCCCAGCTGGCCCAACCACTAACAGTTCCTTTTCCTGGGTTAGTTGCTGTCCTTCCTTGATCCATTTAAAATACTCCCCTTCCTTCTTACCCCATATATACACACTCATATGTGTATCAGAAATCTAGAGAACACATGAGCAGGCGGAGAAGGGAGAGTTGTTGGAGCAAGACGATGGTGAGTCACCTTGTTACCTGCCACTGGAAGAGAATGCGCTCCTCAGTCTGAGCCTGTTTACTGGGCTTCAGCCCCACTGGCTTCCTTTCTGCCTTAAACTGGTGTCCATCAAACAATCTGTGGTGAAGGACCAACATATTTTTTTTTAGGATTTTTATTGGGGAATTGGAGGACGGGAACAGCGCTGGGGAATTGGGGGTAGGGGAACAGACAAGTTGCTGTCGTTTTGTTCTTCAGTCTAGTTGTGGAGGACGTTGCTTCACTGGCCCAAGTTGGCACCATCATTGCGCTCTTCCCGGGCGAGGCAGATCAGTCGCTGGCTTCTGGACAGCCAATCATGGTGGCTGCTGGCTGTTCACGCTGGCTGCTGGCTACACACGGTAGCCCATGGCAACCTACTGCCACAGGGGCTGCAGCCTACGCCGTCGCCGGCGACCCACGGCAGCCCAGCTCCAGGTTGAGCTGTTGTTCAGCATCTTAGCTGTAGAGGGCAGTGTCACTGGCCCTCATATGTGGGATCCGAACCGGGGCCCTCTGGCGTCCCAGGCCAGCTCTTAACCAACATGCCACTCGCCCGGCCCAGGACCAACATATTTTTAAATTTTATAAAATGTTTATAAAACACTACAAAAATGAATTAGTAGAAAATGGTACAAAGGTACAAAATATGAGACCAGTTGCTTTATTATTATATTCAACATATGTAACATTCCTCTGTCTAGTTGCTACAGAGGTTCCTGAAAGCTCCCTCCAGATTCCCATGCTCACCCTGTAATGGGGTGGTCATTACAGTGCAGATGAATACCTGCACTTGAAGCAGCAGGGCCTTGGGGCACTCACCTGGCCTCCTGCAAGGGGCCCCAGCCCTTGTCCTGGCACTTCTTCCCCTCAGGGCTCAGCTCACGTGGCTGGTCAGCAGTGAGACTGCCCCCCGCCACTCCTTCTTGTCACCCTGGCTCACCACCTGTAACCCTCCTGTCTACCAGCTTGCTGCTTCTTGTCTGTGCCCCACCTACACATCACAGAACCTGTGCCCCATTAGAGCAGGAACTCACGTCTTGTTTGTCACTGCATTTCCAGGTCCCAGAATGGTGCCTGGCACAGAGGTGCGCTCAGTAACATTTGTTGTCTGAAAGGGTGGAAGGAAGGAAGGAAGGAAGGAAGGAAGGAAGGAAGGAAGGAAGGAAGGAAGGAAGGAATGACGGAAAAGAGGGAGGGAAGAAAGGGAAGGGAAGGAAAGGAGGGAGGGGGAAGGGAGAGAAGAAAGAAGGAGGGAAGGGGAGAGAGTGAGTGGGAAAGAAAGAGGAGGAGGAGGGAGAGGAAGAGGGCAGGAGGAAGGACAAAAGACATGCCAAGACCACAGGAGAAAGACAATTTTCTGCCTTGAACGCAGAGGAGGCTTCTAGAAGAGGTGAAGAAGGAGTAGGCTCTTGAAGGAGGAGAAGGGGTTTTCTGAACAAATTAGTTGAGCCAAGGAAAGATCAGCACGAGCAAAGGCACAGAGGCTAAAATGGCAAGACCCACTGTAGAGCGTGAGACAGGGGTAAGGAAACCCGAGGGTCTCCTTGGCCATGGAAATGGGGCCCTCCACTACTTTAAAAAGTGCAGAGTGAAGCTCTTTGACTGCCATCATAATGCAGTTCTAGTTTTTGTGCCCTGCTTTGCCTAATCGTGTTAGGGCTGGATGGTCAGTGGAACCATTCTGATTCCCTGCCTCTCCCCCGCTCTCCCCCTCCAGCCACTCCATCCCCACAGACTGTGCCAAGGGCCAGCTGTCAGGTCAGCAGCTCTGTATGAAGCAGTACTATGGGCTCTTCTCCTCCTACCGGCTCCCCGGCCACACCCAGGACACACTGGTGGCCCAGAAGAGCAGTGTCATGCCCGAGCCAGAGCACATCATTGTTGCCTGCTGCAACCAGGTAAGAGGCCCCTTGCTGCTGCAGCCTCTTGGGCTTGGGGAAGACACTTGTGTACTCACTCTTTCCTGCTTTTCTAAGGGTGCTCAGCCCCCTCCCAGAGTCACACAATGAGCTGGGACAGAGTGGCTCCAAAGTGGGACCTTTTGACTCCCAGTCAGTGCCACTTCTCTCTACTGGTTGGATTTTAAGAATGAGGAGAGAGTTGTCAATTGAGAACCCCTTCGTTGGGCTCCCATTCCAGACCTGACCTGCAAGGTCAGGTTGAAAGAGCAGCCTGGATGGATGGACTGAGGGTCATTAATGAGATTTGGCATGGCCTGAGCCCCTCCACATGTAGTCACCCAGGCCCTGGCCTTCATAGAGACTATACACAGACAGATGGACAGCTTTACAGACTAATTATTGGGACCACCTCGTTTTGTTTTCTCCACTCGCCAGTATGTTTGAGATATACCCCTGTAGCTGTATCTAGAGCTAGTACATTCCTTTTAACACCCGGGAAGACATGCAGTGGACAAGGACACTACATTTTACTTAGTCATTCCCTACTGGGGACATTAAGGCTCTCTAGCATTTTGCTACAGCAAGCAAGGCTGATACACACATCCCTTTATACATCTTCTGGGGTCACAAGGATATATGTTTCTCTAAGCCTTAGGGTAAAGTATGTATTTATAAGTGCAATTGCTGAGTCATGTAGGGTGTGCACATTTTTAGTTTTGATAGACCCTGCCCCCCAACATTGTACCAATTTATACTCAGTTCTCCCACAAACACAATAGTATTACATGAACTAAGAAACACAAAAACAAATGTTTTTTAGCTAAGTGTAATCTGAATTTCTTTGATTTGGATAAGCTTGGAGTCCAGCACAGTTGACAGTGTTGGGTTGACCCCAAATTGTGACTATTCAGAGCCGTCACATACCTTGGGAATCTCAGGCCTGAGCGTCCCCATCTGTCTTGTGAAGGCTCAGTGGAGGCCTGGCACTTGGGCTGGCTGCCATGAGTGACATGTTTGACCTGTTTCCCCCACAGTTCTTTGTCTTGGATGTTGTCATTAATTTCCGCCGTCTCAGTGAGGGGGATCTGTTCACTCAGTTGAGGAAGATAGTCAAAATGGCTTCCAACGAGGATGAACGTTTGCCTCCAATCGGCCTGCTGACATCAGACGGGAGGAACGAGTGGGCTGAGGCCAGGACAGTCCTCATGAAAGGTCAGCAGCAGTGCCCAGCGCGTTTCCACGCTCATCTCATCCTCACGCCCATTGGCTTTCCCGTCTCCAGGGCCAGGCACCATGCTCATCCGCATTTGCCACTGCATGGGGAGCTCAGGCCTCCCTCCAGCTCAGGACCTGGCAGCAAGTCCTGCTGTCGGCAACGCATCTTGATGCTGAAGGCACTTTGGTACCTTCTTATTTCATCTGACAGTACCCTAGATTTCTGGGGAAGGCTAACTAGCACTGGAATCCTGGAATGTCTGAGAATACAGATTTCAAGAATAAGATTTCGAGCTAGAGAAAGGAAGGCTGGCCATAGTTAAGCATTTGTGTTTTACTTGTGGGCAGGGATGGTCCTCATTTGAGGGGTCTGAGTTGCTGGGAAAGCTGTCTGATGGGGCTTTGGGATGGAGCCCACCTCTGGAAGGATGGTTGCCTGCCTCCTTCTATGATTTCTTAGTCCTAGAACTTTTCATTTTCAAGCTGATCTTATCCTTCTGGCTGGCTGCTCCTCTTGTGAAAGTTTCCAAGCATCCCCATAAGAAAGCCCATAATAGTCTTAACATTTTAAAATCATCCTTCTGGAAATTACTTTTCAAATCCAAAGCCAGCCATATTCCCAGGAACTGGATGGGGAGCCTTCCTTTCTTGCCTATGTCAGAGATTCCTGGATGACAGGCGAGATTGTGTGAGCCTTTATCTGCCCCTCAGGCTTTCATTTGGCCAGGTGTCCATCGAGACTCCCTGAGTATCTGTAAGCAGAGGACCTGAGCTAGGCCTGGGGAGTGTAAGAGGCAGAGAGGATGAAGCCCCTACCCCGAGCCCACTTGATAGGAACAGGGGAACAGAGGCGTGTGGGAGCAGGTTCAAATACATGGTAATGTGACGTTCACCCATGTAAGGCGATGAGACAGCAGGTGCTAAATAAGTGCTCCAGGACTTCAGAGAGGGAAGAGAGCCCTTCCAATTGGGAGGCTTTGTTGGAAGAGGTGGGAATTGTCCAAAGCCTTGTGACATGAGTGAGGGGACAGGAGGGAGGGATAGCATCCAGGCTGGCAGGCTGACTGTGGGCAAAGCTGGCCACCCAGCAGGGACATGTCTTTCCTGACTACGACCATGAGGAGGACAGCCTGGCTGGCAAAGATCGCTATGCTGGTCGTGCTGGGAGAATGAGAAGGTGGTGGGGCCTGGCTCTCCGGCAACAGGCACTAGCATTTTCTGGTCATTCTCCCCTAGAACATATGGCTGGCTGGCTCTTTGCACCATCCAGAGCTCAGCTCAGGTGTCACCACCTTGGGCCCTCCTTAAGCATCCCTCCCCCAGCATACTCTGTCACTTTGTCCTGTTTTCTCATCTTGATTGCATTTCTCACTCTCTGAAGCCAGCTTTTCATTTGTTTGATTCATACTGATTATCTGCCTCCCTCTCCCAGTCAATAAGGTCCAGGAGAAGAGGAGCCTTATCTGTTTGGTTTAACTTCTGAACTTGCTGTGCCAAACATAGTAAGGGCCCAATTATATTTGTTAAATAAAAGAATGAAGGGTTACTAAGGAGGCTGGGACCAAGACTTATCTTCCAGGTACCAATTAACTATCCTTTCATTCAATTATAGGGTACCTGTGAGTGCTTGGTCCTAAATCAGGGGCTGCACAGGCCACAGGGAGGTGTGAGAGCTGAGCCTGTTCTCACGGACCTAACCAAGTTGGGGAATTAATAGCTTATCATTTGAAAGTGAATTAATTCCCCCAGGAGACCATAGTGTAATCAAATCTCACTCTTCTCCCCTCCAGGGACAGTGACAGGCATCAAAATAATCGCTTCTGCTTCCAGTACAGTTTCTACTTTATTAGCAGGCCAGGCCAAGACATCTCCCTGCAGGACTGCCCAGAATTGCCTTGAGGTCTCAGTGCTTGGGCTGTGCTAATCGAAATTAATTTGTTAATGGCACTTGATTTGGCTTTCTGAATAGAAGTGCTATTTCAGAGGGAAGTGTGACAGAAAGGAGGGGGTGCCCATGCCTTCCCTTTGGAAAACCCATTAATCCAGTTAGCACTAACTGTGTCATCTGCAGAGCAGGAAATCAATCCTTCACAGAGCCCTCCTCCCTGGAAATCCTTCACAGAGCCCTCTTCCCACTTTGCTTCTTCCAGAAGGCAAATGGAGCAGCCATTTAGGAAATTATTTCAGCATAAAAGTGAAAGACTATGGCAGCTTCGGCTAGGGTTGAGAGGGAAGATGGAAGGACATAGATGGAACCTAGATATATTTCAAAGTAGAAGAGGAAGGAAAAGAGAAATGAGAGAAAGTTTCCTAGGTCATTGATTTGAGCAACTGAGTAGATGGTGGTACTGTCACTGAAATGGAACCAAGTTGGGAAGTGGCTACAGAATGGAGAAGTCTTTTCCAAGTGTGTCAGGTTTAAGATGCCTTGAGCCATCTAAGTGGAGATGTCAAATTTGACCTATGTGTCTGAAACTCAAGAAAGAGGTTGATACAGAAATATAAATTTGAGAGCTGTCAGCACATAAGTGATATTGAAAGTAATGGACCTGGGTGAGATCATCTAGAAGCAGAAGAATGGGGCCTTAGAAGTCAGGTAGAGAGAGATGCAAAGGGGATTGAAAAAGAGCAGCCCTGAAGTCAAGAGAAAACCAGATGAGTCACAAAAATCCAAGAGGGAAAGAGGGAGTGGCCCATTGCATGGAAGGCTGCTGAGAGCTCAAGAAAGAGTCATTGGTGACCTTCACAAAGGTCAGACTGGAATGGTAGAAAGGATGAGTGGTTGTTTGCTGATGGAAGCAATCCAACAGCAGGAAGAAATTGTTGATGAGGTCAATAAGTAGACGATCAGTAGGTGTGGATTACTCTTTTCTGACATTTAGGTATTAAAAGGAGCAGGAAAATGGGGAGTTGCTGGAAGAGCATGGAGGTCAAGGGAAGTGTTTTTAGTAGGAGAGACAGGGGCATGGTTGTATGTAGACAAATGCATGAACGTAATCCCACAAGAGAATTGTTAATGAGGAGAGAGGAGATAAATGAAAGGGTGGAATTCTTGCAAAGACAAAAAAAGATGGAACCCAGAGAATAAGAGGCCTTTGCTTGGTTCAAGGAAAACAGAAACTTGGGCCCTAGGTCCATAAGATTGTGCTGTGCTGATGAGAGTATGAGCCAGTTCCCAACTGGTCGCATCTGGTCTCAGAACAGCAGAGCCACATCGTGAGCAGAAAGAGGCAGGGGGTGGGATTCTGAAGACAAAAGAGAACACATGAAATAGCATTTTGGAAAGAGGGCAAGAGAACTTACTCATGAAGCTTGACAAGATTTAAGGACTGTGTTGAGCTCATATGTAAGGACTCAAGGTCATACATTTTAGGAGAAACTAATTAGTACTCTTTTGCAATTCCTCTCCCCACCCCCACCCCCAATGTTCAGCTCCTCAGGTTCAGATGAGGAGAAGGTGGGTCACCAGGTTCAGCCAAGGTGGGTAAATATGACTGAGGAGAAGGGAGAGAGGTGTGGCAAGCGAATGGTTATAATGTTGGAACCTGAACCGAGTAAGGAGGCATAGTAGTCTGCTCAGGCTGCCATAACAAAGTATTATAGACTGAGTGACTTAAACAACAGAAATTTATTTTCTCACAATTCTGGAGACTAGAGGTCTGAGATTAAGGTATCAACAGCGTTTGTTTCTTCTGAGGCCTCTCTCCTTGGCTTGCGGATGGCTATCTTCTGCCTGTGTCTTCACATGCTCTTTCCTCTGTGTATGTGTCTGTGTCCTAATCTCCTCTTATGAGGACACCAGCCATGTTAGATTGGGACCCACCCAAATGATCTGACCTCATCTTACCTTAATTACCTCAATAAAGACCCCGTCTCAACATATAGTCTCATTCTGAGGTCCTAGGGGTTAGGACTTCACCTTAAGTATTTGGGGAAGACACAATTCAGCCCATGACAGGAGCGATGTGAAAGACAGAGGTGGATAATGGATAGCGGAAATACGTATTGGGACCAATGGTTTGGGGGATGTCAGTGAGGTGAGTAATTCAAGAGTGTGGTCAGAGGATGGGATGCTTAAAACTCAGACTTTGGGTGGGGGATAAGCTCCTGATAGTGAAGTGTTTCCAGATGTGATTGTGGGAGTGGATGCTGAGGTTAGACTATCAAAGTTGAGAATTTGACGGGCTGAGAGAGGAGGATTCAGGCTGGGTCATGCACAAGGACATTCAGGCTGCCTGAATGACGATTGGAGTAGTGAAGGGGAGGAAGATGAACCAGGAGCTCAGCTCAGCATGGTGGGGAGTTCTAAGGAGGTATTGACAATAAGGGCACAGCAATAAGGGGGTGATGGTGATGGGGGAACACTTTCAGAAGAGTTTAATGTTGCAGGGAGACCAGCAATCTCTCGTCAGGCTTCATGAAGGGTTCAGGAAGAAAGAAAGGAGAGGGTGTGAGGGATGAGTCCATGTGGGGTCCACTGGAGCAGCGGGGCATGGTAATACCATCGACAAACCCAGGGACAGTGGTCATCATTGCAAGCAGTGCTCCCAAGTCCTTAACTTCTGGGAAGCTACTCTCTCCTAGTTCCTGGCATGTCTGCCTGGCTGCAGTTGTGGGGGTGGGGACGTCTTTCCAGCCCATAGCAGTATCCTAATTAACACTGTGGGACAAGTGCTTTTCAGAGCATCTCAGCTGAAGTCCCAAGGTCTCCACCTCCCTTCCTGGGTCCTGGGCAGAGACCAGTGTCTGTGGGCACTGGGCCCAGGCAGTTGCTGTACAGCAGGAGGCCTCAGCCAAGCTGAGTTCCTTTTATCTTGGTGGAGATCTAGAGAGAGGCCTCTGAGCTCAGACAAAAGCTGCCCCTGAATTCTCATAGGGTCAGCTGAGGCCCAGCAGGGCAATCAATCTCATCAACCCTCTCTCCTCCAGAGATGAGGTGGTCTGCCCCACCCTTAGCCAGGCCAGCCCCCTCTGTGAGCTCCCGGCTCCTCCCCCCA